CATTGAATTGCCGCCAAAAATCATCACCGAATTAGAGGACAAGAGTTGCGTTTTCGGCCAAACAGTGAACTTCAATATCGAGTTATCAAAAGGCGATGCAATCGTTAAGTGGTTTAAAGACGACAAACATATCGAGTTTAACGAAAGGATTGAATTGAAAATCGATGGCAAACAACAGGAACTGATTATAAGAGACGCCAATACGGAGGACGAAGGCGTCTATTCATGCGTTTTGAATCGCCAGAGATATGCGGCTAACCTTACGGTCGAACCGAAATCAACTGAATTTACGGCTCGTTTGACAGACAATATAGTTGTCGACGAAGACAATGACGTCGAGCTCAACGTCCAGTTGTCTCGCTCTGGAGTTTCTGTCAAATGGTTTAAAGACGGAAAACCCATAAAGAAATCAAAGTCCACTATAATTGAGTCCAAAGAGACTAAACATAAGCTAATCATCAGAAATGCGAAACCAAACGATTCCGGAGAATACACTTGCGTTGCGAACGGAGACCAAACCCGTACTCAACTCCAAGTGAACGAAGATTTGGCAGAATTTACGCTCAAATTGAAGGATATTATCGTAAAAGAGAGCCAAACGGCCACACTATCGGCCGAAGTGGCAAAACAGTCGCATAGAGTCGAGTGGTTTAAAGACGACCACAAAATCACTTCAAATGACAGAACCATTATAATAGAGGAGGGAATCCATAGGAAACTTGTGCTCAACGAATGCACTCTCGAAGACAAAGGTATGTATTCTGTGATTTGCAAAGACAAGAGAAGTGTAGCCAAAGTGACGGTCGAATGTCCGCCGAGAATAACGACTCAAAGGAGACATTTTACGGTCAAAAGAGGCGAGAATTTCGGTCTAGAAGTCCATTTCGATGGCTTTCAACCGCCAAAAGTCGAGTGGAGTTTCGCCGACAAAGTGCTCAAAACATCAAAGAAAGTGTCGATCGAAGCCCTTATGTCGAAGACATTGTTAACGGTTAAGAAGTTCGAGGACTCGGATGTCGGCGCCTATAGACTGAGGCTTAAGAACAATATCGGCGAATGCAGTGAAGAGTTCACGCTTTCCATTATAGACAAACCGGAAGCCCCGGGAAGACCACAGGCGTCAGAGATCACCAATAAGTCATTGATTCTGAGTTGGACTCAACCCACAAACAATGGCGGCTCCGAAATCATTAATTATATCATTGAATTCTGTGATAAAAAGACTGAGATATGGAAGATATATAACCAAACCATTACTGTTGTCGACAATCATATGAAGATTGAGGACTTGAAACAGGGAATGGAGTATATATTCCGAGTGACGGCAGTGAACGAAGCGGGCAATAGTGAGCCCTCGCCTGTCAGTCAAAGCGTTGTAATTAGAGAATCAAAAACTGGCGAAAAACCGATTGTAATCCAAGAACTGAAACCAGTTGTCAAAACACCCCTTAAAACCGAGATTAGACTCGAGTGTAAAATAACGGGTCAACCGATTCCTGAAGTGAAATGGTTTAAAGACGATAAGGAACTCATTGTCACGAAGACTATGGAAACAAGTTTCGAGAAACAAATGGCAACTCTAGTGATCAGAGATGTGTCGCCAACGACTGCCGGACAGTATGTCTGTAAAGCAACCAATCCTTTGGGAAGCACTCAAACCAAGTCGACCGTCAAAATAGAGGAAAAGCCGAGCGCTATATTCGACAACAAATTAATATCATTGAAATTAAAACCCGGATTACAATATCTCATTGAGGCTGAGATCAAAGGCTATCCATTCCCTAACATTATGTGGTCTAAAGATCAACAAAGTATCGATAAATTAAAACAAATTCACGTCAAAACTATTGAAAACAAAACTTTATTAGAAAATAAAAACATCAAATCAGAGGATTCGGGCACTTATTGTCTGAAACTAAGCAATGAATTCGGAGAAGNAACCATTATAATAGAGGAGGGAATCCATAGGAAACTTGTGCTCAACGAATGCACTCTCGAAGACAAAGGTATGTATTCTGTGATTTGCAAAGACAAGAGAAGTGTAGCCAAAGTGACGGTCGAATGTCCGCCGAGAATAACGACTCAAAGGAGACATTTTACGGTCAAAAGAGGCGAGAATTTCGGTCTAGAAGTCCATTTCGATGGCTTTCAACCGCCAAAAGTCGAGTGGAGTTTCGCCGACAAAGTGCTCAAAACATCAAAGAAAGTGTCGATCGAAGCCCTTATGTCGAAGACATTGTTAACGGTTAAGAAGTTCGAGGACTCGGATGTCGGCGCCTATAGACTGAGGCTTAAGAACAATATCGGCGAATGCAGTGAAGAGTTCACGCTTTCCATTATAGACAAACCGGAAGCCCCGGGAAGACCACAGGCGTCAGAGATCACCAATAAGTCATTGATTCTGAGTTGGACTCAACCCACAAACAATGGCGGCTCCGAAATCATTAATTATATCATTGAATTCTGTGATAAAAAGACTGAGATATGGAAGATATATAACCAAACCATTACTGTTGTCGACAATCATATGAAGATTGAGGACTTGAAACAGGGAATGGAGTATATATTCCGAGTGACGGCAGTGAACGAAGCGGGCAATAGTGAGCCCTCGCCTGTCAGTCAAAGCGTTGTAATTAGAGAATCAAAAACTGGCGAAAAACCGATTGTAATCCAAGAACTGAAACCAGTTGTCAAAACACCCCTTAAAACCGAGATTAGACTCGAGTGTATAATAACGGGTCAACCGATTCCTGAAGTGAAATGGTTTAAAGACGATAAGGAACTCATTGTCACGAAGACTATGGAAACAAGTTTCGAGAAACAAATGGCAACTCTAGTGATCAGAGATGTGTCGCCAACGACTGCCGGACAGTATGTCTGTAAAGCAACCAATCCTTTGGGAAGCACTCAAACCAAGTCGACCGTCAAAATAGAGGAAAAGCCGAGCGCTATATTCGACAACAAATTAATATCATTGAAATTAAAACCCGGATTACAATATCTCATTGAGGCTGAGATCAAAGGCTATCCATTCCCTAACATTATGTGGTCTAAAGATCAACAAAGTATCGATAAATTAAAACAAATTCACGTCAAAACTATTGAAAACAAAACTTTATTAGAAAATAAAAACATCAAATCAGAGGATTCGGGCACTTATTGTCTGAAACTAAGCAATGAATTCGGAGAAGTGTCCTATGATTTTGTACTCAAAGTGTTGGACAGGTCGGGACCGCCGGACGCGCCCGTCAGGGCTCTCATAGTGGAGGACGACTGCATTGAGTTGTCGTGGAAACCGCCTAAAGATGACGGCGGCTCTCGTGTCACACATTATTTGATTGAAAAATGCGAAACAAAAACCAATTTATGGAAAGAAGTGAAGAAAATTGACGCAAAACTTCTCATCCAAAGAGTGGATCGTTTGGTTTGTGGCGAAGAATACGTGTTCCGCGTCAGTGCTATCAATGAGTTTGGCAAAAGTGATGCCACACTTTCGCAACCCATTGTCTGCAAAAGTCCTTTCGGTTTGTTTTGCAATTAATTTTCAATTGTATTGATATTAAAATTCATTGTTTTATATCTATAGACAAACCGTCTCCACCTTTGGGACCATTGATCACATCAAACAATACGGAAGAATCGTTTACATTGAGTTGGAATCCACCGGAAAGTGACGGCAATTCACCGATTCTTGAATATATAGTCGAGAAGAAGGAAAGCGATAAAAAAGTTTGGCAAAAGGTATCACTTATTATAAAGCTCTTAACAAAACATTTATTTCTACAAAAATCAAAACGAATACTAAATTAACAATAAATAACTTAAAGGTTGGATCAGTGGATGGAAAGACACAATCGATAGAAGTGTTTAATCTGAAGAAAGATACGGCACATCACTTCCGGATTACGTGCAGAAACAAAGTGGGAACAAGTCTTCCGTTGGCACCCGAGGAGACCATAACACCGAGAGGTAGGTATAGCGCGCCTTCAATGCCGGGCCGACCGCTTCGCGTGTCTGAAATGACAAACACTTCGCTCACATTGGAGTGGAATAAGCCGTTGTCGACGGGAGGCGTCGAACTCACCTCTTATATACTCGAGCGACGACTCGTCTCCGAAAGCAATTGGATACGAGTGGACACAATAGACCCGGAGATCACTAGTTATACCGTAGAAAACCTGTCGTCAAAACACGAATACTTTTTCCGAGTTATAGCCGAAAATCCTTTAGGACTCAGTCCTCCTCTCGAGACAGATTACGAGTGGACACAATAGACCCGGAGATCACTAGTTATACCGTAGAAAACCTGTCGTCAAAACACGAATACTTTTTCCGAGTTATAGCCGAAAATCCTTTAGGACTCAGTCCTCCTCTCGAGACAGAGACTGCCCTTAAACTGTCGCTCACCGCAGGTATGACTCGCTGTCCGCGTCTATAATATAACAATCAATTTAATGTATAAATGCTTTCAAATGGTAGCACAACCGGGCATTCCTACGGGTCCTTTGGAGACCCGAGTGGTGGGTCCGAGTGCTATAGTGGTCGAGTGGGGCAAACCAGAGACAGACGGCGGCGCACCTCTGCTTAGTTATGTGGTGGCGGCCAGAGATGTGAGGAGAACCATGTGGATGGAGGTCTGCACACCAAATCAAATCATAGCTAATACTAGACTCTCTTTACTAATACGTGTCTTTACCTGACAGGTCGGTCACGTGAGCGCTGATACCCAACGATTACAAATCAAGGATTTACAAGAAGGACACGAATATATGGTGAGAATTCTGGCCCGAAATGAAGTGGGACTCAGCGACCCCTTGGAAATGGAGGAACCCGTCAAAGTGGTCCGACCCCCAGGTATTCATTCATTCAATTTTATTCATTATAAATACTTAATTCATCGCACAATTCATAAATAGGATATCAGATTCAAACACAATATTTAACAATTGCTAAAATAAACACAATTTATAGCAAAAACAGATAACAAAAAACTAATTAAATTGTATGATCTTATGATAGGTTTCACGGAAAGTGCTGTTGAAGTAACGGTGGAAAGACCTGATACCCCATCACTGAGTTTCACGACAACCGAGACGTCGTCGTGGATGCGAGAGGCAAATGTTGAGCCAAACGTTCGCTCCTATACTAGACATACACTCATACATAGGAGGGAATACTTCTTCAAACTCTGGTTCAATTCAGACTCACTTTTCAAATGAATTCATTCAACAATCAAATTGTGATTTAAAACTTTTTTTTTGTAAAACTCAAAACACAACGAACTTTGCGATGAAATTGATATATATTTTTGACTCAAACCAACATTTTATATAATTATTTAACGAAACCGTCTATTCTTACGAACGAAACGATCATTTCATTTGATTGTTATAAACATTTTAATTAATATTTAGTGAGAGATTCAATGTTTAGACTTATTTCCTATCGATAGGTTTTTAACTAAACTTTGTTTTTTGCGTTTACCCTATTGTTATTACATTGTTATGCCTTTTAGTTGATTGTTAATTAATAATTACTGTTATGTATTATGTTATGAAATATGTTATGTTTTAGTTTATGCTATAAAAAGCCAATAAAAAAATTATTTAATTAAATTAAACAGAAAATAGTTGATTAAAAAAGCAGACGCAGAGCGAAATTAAACTCACAAATAATGGGAAAAAGTATGTGAACTGTAATGAGAAGCAAGGGATGAGAGAAATGACATGAAATCAAATGTGAGGTGTTTTTAATTCACACTAAATTCACAATAAATTCATTATAATCTTTACAAATGGTTTTGGGATAGAAGGCAATGCATGCAATTCATACAATTTGAAATGCCTATCATGTACATTCAAAAAGTAGGATAGGAACGTTTAATTAAATTTAGATTATTTAAAAGTAAATTATATAATTAAAAGTGGTTAATTTGTTTAGATTGTAATTATATGACAGAATCCGTTTGAATGATATAACAGATAATAAGTTGATTAGCAAATCATAATCATATGGTTCGCACAGTCGGAGTGTTCTGTTTCGCCGAATCCGTAGTAAAATTTGTGGTCAATTTTGCCGACAACTTGTGACTCGGTTTTGCCAAAATGCAAATCACATTTTCCCACATAAATAGGATTTGAGTCCAAGTTGTGTCCGCCGATGAACGCCCGGTCGGGCACAGCATCTCCGCCATGCCTTTCCACCCAATCGTAATTATGTCCGATCAGTACCTCATAATCAGATTTGGTTGAGAAGGCCTTCCCTCCCATCGTTACAACACATCCTATGTTTTCGTTAGCTTTTCCGGGGAGTAAATCGTTGTCTTGTTTATGTCTACAGATATACAACGGCTTTGTGTCGATATCAATACCGCCAACGATTGCATTCTCCGGTATTTTAGTTCCCGTTATTTTTAGCCATTGCAGCGAACAATTCACTATCAATTAATTAATTTCAGTTATTTATTATAATTTACAGTACTTTATGCTTTAATTAACATTTTGAGCAATTATTACCTTTCTTTGTATTGTCTTCAATGGTCAGAATAAATGTCCGGATCTGTTGTGAACTTAACTGGATTTTTGAAATATCATTCAAGTGTTGGTCGGAATTGAATTGAATGTCATTCAAAGGTTGTTTGGATTTCCACTGCAAACGATTCGTTTGTGATTCTGAAAGCTCTTGATTTGCGCTTAAAGTCATTTCTCTGATGTCTTTAATCTTAATGTCTTTAAACAAAGTTTTCAAATCGATTTCGACATCTTTTGAAAGTTCATTCTTGTCTTCCTTTTGGTAGAAGTGCTCTAAACGTAAGAGTAGTTCGTTTTGTGTCCACTTTTCTAATGTCAATAAATGGACATTTTGTGGCAATTCTTGACTTAATGCAGAATAAGATGTCTTGTATTTATTCCTATATTCGGCTTGAGTTTGAGTTAACGGCGAGAATGTAATCAATGGAGACATAAATAATCTTTGATTCAAATCGCGAAACAGTTTTGACGATTCATTAATTGGTTTAAAGAATATGAAGTGCTTTCCGCTGACGACCAGTCCTTTTCCATCGACACCCGTCTCATTCATCCAGCCGTCCGTAAAGAGCCTCCTGTGAACCATAAGCTCTATTTGCCCATCCATTTCACTCGACCCTCCCTGTGCTCTATCGGTCAATACTGTCAATTGCATCCCTTTTTCGTTGTCTTTTAGTAATATTCTTTCATAAATAGGATAATAATTATCAGAAATGGATTCTTTGAATTTCCCGCAATCTTTTTGATGTGAATTTCGGATTCTTTTTATCTAAACGTATAAAAATCAATAATTGTAACAAAAGTGGAGTGAATTCTTACATTTTGTCTGCCATTAGCGTCGGTATAAAATTGTTGGTTTGTTTGGAGGTTAGTATCAAATGTAAGGATGACTTCTCTGCCAATGTTGTCAGTGAGAGGCACCGGTCCAACAGTCCAATCGATTTCCACATATTCTTCGTCTTCGTAGACCCGAATAGTCTGTGATATCCAATCATTCCATTTCTGCTGCACTTCACTAACGGATCCATTGCTATAAATGTTCTCTAATTTAACGGAATCTCTATTTATATCGACTGCTTGTCCTTCAGAGCAGAACATATAACTGTTGTCATGATTTGATTTATAAAATTTGAACGATTGTTTCAATGGGAACTCATTTCCGTTAATCATTTTAATCTTTTCAATATTTCCTGTCTTTTGATCTAAACTTATTGTAAATCCTTTTCCTTTCAATTCTCCGTTTGATTTCGTATTTTCGTTCATCTGTTTGTTTGCATCAATTGGTGCGTCTAAAAAACGATTTAACAGTAAAATCATTTACTTTATTGTCTGTCATTAATTGTGAATTACTTACTCGACTTTTTGATAAAATAAGTAACAAAACCAAGTTTTTCAAGATTTGCTTTGAAAACCAATTCAAATTTTGCGGATCCACTTCTGCCAGGAATTTGCATCACTCTCTCAGAAATGGGAACAATATGTATGTCAACCACTTTATTGCCATTGCTATCAAATACTTCATAATTACTATTAGAAAAGATCGGAATTCTTATCCATTGAGAAACCGGCCGTCCGATCGGATTATAGACAACAATTGTAAACTCATTTGATGTCTCCGAAACATAACATTCACTTATGTTAAGTCTGTCGCAAATTATTTGTTTGGGAAAACTAATGTCTAACTCTTGTTTAGGTATTAACTTTCGATACATTCTATCAATTACTTCTTGCAAAGCGTCGGAAGCGCTAAAAAGTCTTAGTATGTAATCATCAATAGTTTGTTGAGGAGAAGTACCGGTAATCGCGTCGTGATGTGTGAGCACAGAGATCTCATTCTGGGCCTCATTCAGGAAAGGTTCCGATTCTGGGATTCTTGTCATTGAATCTAATTGTTTGCTGATTTGCAACAAATTGTTTGTCGACCTCTCCTGACGTTTCAGCGATGGTCTGCTCGCGAAGAATCCCTCCCACAGCGGAAAGTAATCCCTCTCTCGGTATTCAAATGTAAGGTTTAATTGATTGACAGACCATAAGTAACACATGGGGTTCGAGTAAAACATGTGAACATCGGGGTAAAACTCATTGACAGCATTCGCCAATTTGTCCAAATTTGCGAAATAGTGTTCGGCGTTATTGTATTTGAAGTCATCGCCGAAAGTCATGAGCACATGATTTGTGTCCCCAAAGTCTTTGTTCCACTGTTTGGCTAACGAGACAATTGTGTCGGCCTTTTGTCTCTTATTTTCGTCGTTTATATCGTTTCCTATTAAACAAAATATATTGAATAAAACAACGAAAATACTAAACCGTTTGTTTAAATACCGGTTTCGAAGTCAAACCCGTCGGGAGCGCTGTAATGGTTGTGAAGGATTGTGGTAAAAATGTTAGCGCTCTGTCCCAAGTCAGCACTTCCGCCCCAAATGAACTCTCCTTTCGGGATAACACCTCTATTGAAGACGTGGCCATCGA